GTTCGTTTAAAGGAGCATATGTATGACGTTAGTAAAGGGAACAACAACACTATCTTGGCAATCATGGCGCAAACAGATGGTGCAAGTGTTAAATGGGATGAGGCACGAATTGTTAAACCGGTCCATTCTCCGACTATTGCCTTTGGCATAGAAAAAATGGAGATTTATAAGAGTAAGATAAATAGCAAGTGTCTAAACGCCAAGGATGCTAATGCTCTTCCAACGGCATGGAAGTACATAATAGAAAAGGAAATGGGGATTAAAAACCCGTAAAATTATGGCAGTTGTGTATTACTGGTTTAATGTATATTTTTGTTATAGTAAGCTTTATATTTTTATATATTTTTTATATTATTTATGTTTATCATATAATATGTTAAAATTTTTTAGTTAAATATTTAATGGTTTACAGTGATATTTAAAAATATGTTAAATAGTTAATAGTTACAGTTTATGTTAAAAGTTTAAATTTAAAATTTATTCGAAAGTTGTATTCGAATAGTTCTTGAAGATGGCCTATTGGAATTGGGCTGAAAACGTTTGAAATTAAAGTAATAATAAGCTCAGCAAGAGTTTGGTGTTTTGTTTACATTCCATTTTAAGCTTAAATTGCAGACTATGACTGTTTTAAATTTTTTTTTTATTTTAAGCCCATGTTAATTTTCTGCAGTGAATGAGATTAATATTGTAGTAATGCCATTAATATCATTATTGACTGTTATTTTAAACCCATGATAATTTTATTTTAAGAAGAATTTTTAAATTCTTCTTAAAATAAAAATAAAATAGAAAAATTTTAAATTGCTTGACTCTCAAATTGATGTCTATTTCTCTTGTAAATAGTATATACTCAAGAAAATAATCAATTTCTGGGATATTTGTTAAAGCAGACTAAAGACTAGGGGACATTAGTTTGATATTACTGAGAGTAAAAAAATGTAAGCTGCCAAAATTTTTGTCAAAAGTTGGAATGGAAAACTGCATCAACTTTGCATATTGGCAAGCTTAACAGGCAGTGATAATTAAAAAATTTCAAATGTTTCAAGAGAGATATATACTGTGAATTCATATATATATATTTTTTTTTTGTTTTTTTGAATTCATGTATATATATTCTAATTCATTTAATCTTTTATTTAATGAATATTTTGTGTTGATTCCAATAACATAATGATAGCTGGAAAATATCATTCATTCAGAGTAAAAGTGCTAGTCTCTTAGTACTGTTATTTTGAAATGAACAAATTTATCCATCTTTGCATCACATACTTCAGGATAAGCAACAGCTTTAACTTTTAACATTGAAAATGCTATTTCAAATAAAACAGATTTGGTACAAGTTTAATGATATAATATTCAATAAAAATGCTTTCAATTTATTTCACTATGTTTTGATCAATTTTCTGCAAGTTGAATGAAAATAAAACCTTTTCTTAACCTGCCTCACTATGTGAGCAGCAATTGACTTGAGAGTGCAATTACAATTTAAAATTGGTATATAAATCCCATTGCATAATATACCCTCTTCAAATTGTCTTTTAAATACAGATAACCCTTGGGTTATATACATGAAAATACAGTAATTGATAAAGAAATAGTATTATACAAAATTTGACATTTATGAAACAATTTGAAATTCAGCAATGAAATAAAGTAATAACAAATTATTGTTTTATTGAAGAATTTTATTTTAATCATTTTATAAATTACTCCATTATTCTTATAATACAATTAATTAAGGATAAGTTTTTCTTTACAAGAAAATAATTTTATAATCAATATTGTAAATTTGAGAACAATTTTACTTTGAATTTAAGTTAAAAATATATATCAATTTGCATTTTGTGAAAGAAAAAAAAATGTAAATACAAAAACTGTAATTTAAGCAATTTTAAATTATATGCAGATATTCTTTTCCAAGCATGATTCAATATTAATTTTAAAAAATTTGGAGAATAATAGATCATTTCAATAATTAAACATGTTTATTTACTTAGGGTATTTTTTAAAATTTTTATAACAATTTTTAATTTTATAATAATCTGATCAGTTAAGAAACTCAGTTTAATGGACTAAACATTTACTAAACTGAACACTGAACAACATATCTTCATAGTAGTGTACACCACTATTATTTTACAATTTTTAATAAGATTAGATAAATTATATATTTGCTTTGCTTTTATCTATTTCTTGTAAAATAGCATAATCTCTAATTTTGTTTAATAAAAATGAGCAGTTATTCAGAAATAATTTTTTTTTTAAATTAGAAGGAAAAAAACTTGCTTAAAAATGAAAATCTATATTGCTTTTTGTATTGTACACATGAAATCATTTACTTAAGTGTTCTTATCTCCTAGTGTTGATTAGATTTTGACTATTTATCTAAACTAGGTTAAAATTTTGCTTATTATTTTTATTATTTCCTTTAAATTTATAATTAAACGTGTAAAAATGTATATCATAATAAAATTCTCAGTGATGATGAAAAAAACAAAATTAGAACGATGGAAGATGTGATTCTCTGAATTAACCCTACATAAAAATATGACAATGAAATACAAATAGTTTAAAATGACATTTCTGGTTAATATCAAATGAATCTACATCTAAATTCATATAAAAATGTGTGTTAAAATACACTGAATGTTTTTAAAAAAAACAGTTTTTATTCTAATTTTATATAAAAATAAAAGTTTAAATGGAAGTTGTCCTGTCTGAAACAACTTCTTTCTCTCTAAGACGTTGGAAATGTCGAAGACGTTCTCTTTCTACCACTTCATGTTCTGGGACAGGTGCTACAAATACGTGTTGGTATAATAATCCAGCCACTATCCCACCTAGAATTGGTCCTAGCCAATAAACCTGTGGCACAACAGAAATAAAAACCATATTTAATATTGATAGAAAACATTAATTGGTTATGTAATTCAAGTTAACCATATATATCAATACAATTAATTTGGTACAATAGGTATAACTAAATTGTTATTTTTGTTACCTACCCAGTGATGCTCCCATACTCCAGCAACAACTGCTGGTCCAAAAGATCTGGCTGTGTTCATACTGGATCCTGTATACATTATCTGTAAAAAAATATATATATATAAATATTATTAAAATTAATAAACTGACAATCTTATTTTATTCTCAATATTTATGTAAAGAAATATTTTAAAAGTATTTTTAAAATCACAGTGTTATGGAAACATATTCATTCTGTAGTTCAAATTACTTTATAGCATATTGCAACATAATGGTTCTTGGTACGTCAGTAGGCAGCAAAGTCATCATTCATAATTTAGCATGTCATTGCAATAGAAGATATTTCACAAATAACGGTTTGATAAACATCTACAAATTTTTTCTGAGATTGTTTAATTTATTTTTTGTGATGTTATAAAATAATTAGCTTTAATGGAGGAAAGAGAAAAACAGCAAAATTTGAGTAAATATTGCTTTCAATTAAACTTTTTAGAAAATAAAATAATATATATAAACAAGCAAACAAATGTATTATAAATATAAAAATTTTATCTTATTTTTAACAGAATGAGAAAAACTGAAGTTTTATGTAAGGAATTAGAAACAAATGTTTATAGAGAACAAGAAGAGAATCACAATTATCTTATTGTTAAAGCTGTATACTATCTTCCCTCAGAAGTTGGCACAATTGCAAAAAAAAACAAAAAAATCAGAACAATGGAGAATAGGAATTAATTAACATTATCAATTGGAAAATCTAATTATATATAAGTCAATGTAAATTGAGAAAACGGCAAAGTAATGCAAGCTTTACTACTATATGTAATAAAATAAATCATTTATTGTTAAGAATTAAAAAAAAATAGCAATGCTTTTGAAAATTATTCAAAGATTATAATTACTAAAGAAAAATATCTTTTCTTAATTAAAATATAATTTTTCATCAGATCTTAATAATAATAATATAATGTCCTTGACTTTTTATAAGTTAAAAGGGAAAATGGATATAGTATAGTAATATTTATATTTAAAAGTACATCATTATATAAAATTTATAGTTTACAGATGGAAACAATAGATACAAAAGAAGATAAAATATAAGAAAATTTTAACAACTTTTTGTTTCCTTTAACTGAAGATTCAGTTCCGAGTATTCAGATTTACAATAATGAAACAAAACTGATTATATAATTTTTTGTTTTATTTTTATATTTTAAAGGCCATCCAAAAGTAAAATTTTATACAAAATATAATGGTAGTAGCTTGAAGAAATTATGAAATTAGAATTTATTTTTCATTTCACAATCTAAAATATAGATTTACAGTGATTAACTAATTTCTATTATAAATTTAACAGATTTTTATACCACAAAACTAGTTTATATTTTCCTGTATTCTTTTATTGCATAACATTTAGAATTGACTAAATGAGTTCATTAGGGAGGAATTTATAATTACATCATTGTTTTAAAAGTTTATGTTTATATATGTACAGAACTTTGTTCTACTTTAAATTCTGTAATAAATTATTAAATAAAAAAACTATAAAAATAAATAAATTTGTATCAATTCATTAACTGATTTGAATCTTTTTCTGATGTATAATTAATGCAAAAATTAATTCTAGTAGCTTTCCAAATGATTAACGTTAAACATATTAAGTTATTAACCTTGAACCTACTAATTGGATTCTTTTATAAACTGTCAAACTTTTGCAATATTCTATTAAAAATATAATACTGTATGTACCAATATGATTATGTCATAGGACAATACTTTAAGAAATAGTTTTTTCTCAATCTGTACATCAGAATGGTTTGATATATTTCAAGGGAATTATATTTCATCTAGTTTGCTTTCAGCTCCAGATCTTTTGGATTTATGTCAATAAGTCAGGCATTCAAGCATCAAGATAATTATGACATTGAATGCATATTGAATTATTATTACTACCTTTCCTTATCTGTAAACCAGAATAGAGCTAAGCTATGCAAATGCAATTAATTCAAATTATTTAAAAAATAATATAAATATAATTTTCTACGGTGCAGGCTGCATGTCAGTAGCATGTTTGTTTCAAACAATTCTTCATAAATATCATACAATTAGACTGAATTAAACCTTGTTATTGTTTGGAATACAATAGGGAAAATAAAATAGCAGTATCTATTCAAAATTATTTTTATGCTCATATAAGATGATTCTGGAAAGAAAATGCAGTTTTAAAATAATAATAATATTAATTCTAAATAAATAAATAATTATTTATTTAGAATTAATATGTTATTGAGAGTAATTTTAAGACTAAAAAATTCAAAAACAAAAATCTAACTAGTAATAATTTTATAGACTTTAATTGGATATTTGATAAATTATTAATGATAAAAAGTTACCAACATTTAATGTGAAGGCTGTTTTTAAAATTCAAACTTTTCTGTTATAGATACAAATCAGAATATAATATTTCAGGTTGTCTAACCATTTTTAGATCCATAACATTGCTAAAGGCAGAGATGTTATCAGTATCCTAAATAACTTAAATGAAATTTCTAGATATCTTAGAAAAGGAGGTTATCCTGGTACAAACCTGTAATCATACTTTGAAAGAATAGTTTTTTTTTTTTTTAAATTAAAACATAAGAATGAAGAAGCATTGACCTCTAATACTCCAACTGATTTATAATTTGGATCAGAAGCTATTCCTGATTAGAATCTTTCAAAAATGATTACATCTGCTGATATAAAACAATTATTTACTTTATTAATTATATTATTTAATTACTTATCATTTATTTATTCTGTATAATAGGATTTTTTATATATATATATATCAAATTATCATAGATTGAAAATGTATTTTAATTAGAGGATATCCTTTATTACAACTATCCAATTTGTTATCTTGGCTACTTGCAGATATTACTACATCCAATATTGGAAGTAGGATATAAACAGAATAATTGAAAATGAGGATGTAAAAAAATAGTGATATTTTATTCAAGATACCAAATAAAGGTTTAAAATTATATGCTTAATTTGCAATGGAAGTAATCCATTTTTTAATTTTGATACTATAGGTAATAAAGAATATAAGAGTTACATATTGGTAGGTCAATTGTAAAGCTATTTACTCCTATATTATAAATTTTACTCTAAACTATAATGTATCATAGGCATGAAAATTTTATTAATAATAAATTTAAAAATAAAAATGTAATTTTGTTCATTTAACAGGCTATAAAATTTCTGCAATATAAAATATTGTACTTCATGTATATATGCAAAAATTGTCTGAGATGTTTGCAAAATAATGTTTAACTGTGAAATAGGATAATAAGTAAATAGGTTAAAGTATATATTTTAATTATCAAATAATTATTCAGCAATAATTTCTGTTATATAAGAATTAAAAAAAACAAATATATTTTTAAAAAAAGGCATGACAATGGCCTAATTTTCAGTCAAAAACGTGAGAGGAAGTGGATCGAGTGCATTCTAACAAGTCAGATGAGCTAGAAAATGCATTTTATACTCCATTAAATTAACTAATTTATCAAGATTTATCTTTAAACCCCTTATCTTTCCTTCACAATAAAAAATGGCTAATTTCTTGTTTTTATCTCGTAAGTAAGATTTACATAAAAGTGTATTAAAATGCTGTACATAACGCTATGAATTGTAACATATACGTAATTGCATAGACGCGCAAACAATAATATTTGTATTTGAAATTACTATTATTCATTCTTGAATATTAACTCGCTTAGATAATGGTTCAGAGTTCATATGATGACGTAAATAAAAGGTGTTGCTAAATGGGTCAGTATGTCTATGCAGTGTGTTTAATTGTGTGACATAATAGATGTGTTAAACGTACGTCAATAATATAAATCCTTTCTATAAAACTTGCCCTTTTTTTTTAATTATGAATTTAGTACATAAAAGAATCACATAGGTTGGCATTGACCTCAAAATGCATATTCCTAAACATAAAGTGTGTGCAACCGCACTAACATCAGTTACGTTTTACTAAAATTTAAGTGATAGGTGAAGTGCTGTAATCTCTACGAGGTTTTTTTAAACAGCTTTCAATATAATTTCTGGAAGTTCTCTTTTTTTAGAGTGATAAGGGAATGGTTTAAAAATACCTTGTAAATTTATTAAGTTACTTAAATTTTAGCATTCTTAGATCTTTAATTTATTAGATTTGTTATGACATTAGGTTGATGTAATCTTTAAATTGTAACGAAATTACAAAAGTTTTTAATTCTGAATTGTCACTAGTTTTTGAAGGCCAGAACTACGTAATACAGTTAAAAACAACTATGACTTAAGCACTGATCCAAGCTTAAAATCAAGAAAGTTATATTATAGGATTACGAAAATCAGATTAGATGATGATTATCGAAATCGTAAGTCATTTTAATATGGTAAAAAATGATTTAAACAATTTATACTCACCGCAAACAAATGGCAGGTTGCAACTGATAAGCCGATTGCGAGTGGTGCAGATCCAGTAACGTCGAGACGGTTATTATCACAGACTGCAAAAACCGTGAAAACTAGGATAAAAGTTATGCAGAACTCTACTCCGAACCCTTGAAAGGGGCTAAGACTTTCGTTGACTTTAGTGGCACCTAATATACTTTGCTGACTTTCGGGAGTCACGGCTTTAAGTATGGCAGCACCCGCGATTCCACCCAAGCACTGGCAGCAAATATAGAAGAAAGACCTAAAAATGGAGCATTTGCCAGTCACTAACATACCGCAAGTTACCGCAGGATTGATGTGACCACCGCTGACATGTCCTATACCCTGCACCACGGTTCCAACCGTCAAACCAAAGGCTAGCGCTATCTGCACTATATTGGCTTTGTAATCTGCGCTCCATCCTCCGATACAAGACCCACAACCTATGAGGACCAGTATGGCTGTGCCCACGAATTCGGCAATCAAAGCCCTCCATAAGGTGCTGGTGCTGGTCAGCTCGTCGATGCCACAGATGGTCCTAAACTGGCTAACTCTACCCATCTCGAAATGATGTGCCGCTCGGGCGATTCACGATCCGTTTAAACTTCGTCCGTAGAGCGAGGGCGTGTTGCAGGTATCCTGTCTTAGACCAATGGTAGCTCAGTCACGTGATTCGGTAGCAGTAGACGAATGAAACAGATGAAATAAGTGGAAAGACGTCTTAGATCACGCATACATTATTAATAATTTGGGTTTGGAATTCGTAAGAAAATCGACTTTAGTCAGAGTTTATGTCGAATTTTTCTGATCAGATAAGTTAGAGGAAAGTTCAAGGTATTATCAACGAAAATGCTTCATATCTGTATTTACTTTGCTTTTTTCCTCGACATTTTCGAAAGACAAAGATAGATTTAATACAGGATTTTAAACATTAAGTAAATTAAAATGAAAATATATAAAATGAATATATTTATTCATTTAAATCAGCATTTATTGGTAGATCTTATAACAATGAACAAGTCATGCTACTCTAAAAAAAAGGTGACTAATTAGAACTTATAGTTACTATTAAAAATCACGCCATCTATCAGCGAACATATGAATGAAACATGGAATATATTATTGATAGAAACTCAAGGTTATATATAAGAAAATAAAAAAGCGGAATAGAAAATCGAGGTATGAATCACTTCCTCGAAAACTAACCAGGTTTGAAGAAAAACAGCAAAAAATAATTAGTTTTGTGAATTAAGAATGGCATTGCATTGCCAATAATTATATAAACTGGTTTCATTCAGTTTTCTTTGTAAACATGATAATTTTATTAATTAAGTAGTACTTGTGTAGCTTGGAAAATACGATACCAGTCCTCCTTTTGGTAAGAAATTCTTCTAGGAAACGTTTCTCTTAAGAACACCGCCAATTTTTTTTATTTTTATTGTTAAGGTAGTAGCATCTACTATGAGTAAGCGTACCTAGTAAATATAAACCACAATAATAGATGATTATCCATTGTTCTTTCCTCATTAAATGTAAGAGGAAGATGTTATTGCACATCTATGCTGTCACCCAATTCTTGAATGAGATTCATCGTAGGCCTAATTGTAGCACCGGATAATAAAACTGAACATAACTTTCGTCCCGACGAAAATTTATATTTTTCTTACCCTCTACGTGCTATATTTATGGAAAAAATAATAATTTAAATATATAATAATTTTCTTAATTTATAGCAATGAATCTCCAGTTTTATGAATACGTGCTTTACATTAAAATAAATTATAAAGTTAAACATGAATTGTAGCCTTGTCGACTATTTCCAATTTTAATATTATAGCAGTAGTGTAAATTGCTTAATATCACCCGAGACTAGAATTTTAACGAATTTTTTCATTATTGTTCTTATTCTTATATAATTATGCCAATATTTCTGTATAATAAATTCATATACTTAAAATTGGTCTATTAATTATGTTAATGTACTGTAGAAGTACTAGACTTTTATTTTGAAATTCCAAGTAAATTTCGATGTTTTGTGCTTCAGCAAATCATCGTAATTTATTACTGTCATTATAGGGTATTAATTGTCACTTAATTGTGAATGTGTGTATAGAGTATAAGGCAAAGTTAACATAAATGTCCGTGTGATAAGGTAAAATTTTGCACCTTATCCAAAGAAAATTTTTATAACTACGTTGTTATTTAATTTGTATGTAGGCCTATTATATTATATATTTGATTAGTAAGCATACTGAAGCTTTGGAAGAAAATCTTAACAAACCGTATATACAATTTGTTAAGATTTTCTTCCATAGCTTCTTTAAGAACTTTTAAGGTCTCTTTTAACTATAGTAGTGTTAATCCTTCCATACGCCAGCATTATACTTATAATTATCATCCGTATATTACGGGAGATCGATTAAAATATATTTAAAAATATATATGTAATTCTAATGAATTTCTATGTAATTTAATTATACTATAAGTATAAGTAAATCTCTTCTGTTATAAATAAAAAAAGGACGAAGTGATTTTACTTTTTAAAGCATCTTCGTTTTTAAAGGTTTTTAGAATTATATATATATTTTAAATTATAATTATCATTTTTCTATTAAAAATTTATATGATATTAATTTTAGGCGTTAGATTTTTTGGTGCTTTTGTTATAAGTTAACTTTAACGCTATTTTGTAAGATAAATTTTATTAGTTTGTTAAGCAACTTTTCAGTTGCTTAATAGACTAAACAACTAAACATGAAAATGCATTTTATAGATAAATTAACACTTTGTTATCATTGTAGCGTTTGTGTTGTTCATCCTTGAAAAACAGCACAAATTTTATAAACATTTACGCAATTTTCGTGTCACCGAACTTTATTAAAACCTATTCAATTTAAAACTTTTTAAAGGATAAATAGGCTATAGTTTATTTTTATAATTAAATTCGTTAATCATTATCTCTGTTTATTTATTTATTTATTTTTTTGAACTCTTAATTACATACTAAAAACGGGTTCGGCTCACTTGTCAGACAAAAAACGGGGAATTTTGACTGTTGTACTGAATCATTTCGCTTCTGAGATAGAATAATCATAATTTTTCTTAGTTTCAGCATTGGAAAACCCTGAATGAAATTGGTTCTTCTTCTTTTTTTTTTTTTAAATAAAAAGCAAAATCTTGTTAGGAATTTTTAAAATACCTTAAACCCTTAAAAAGTAAGTATTCGTATATTAATTCGTACATTAGTACAAAGTATTTGTACGTTAATTCACTATATCTAGTTAACTTTTTAAATAATTGTTCTTTTATTCTTGTATTACACGTGTTTAAACTGGTATTTAATTTTAATGAAAGGTAAAATGCCTGTTTAAGTCAGTATTGGTAGTAAGTTATATTTGTTCCATTATATGAAGCTGTTTAAAGTAAGAAAAACTTGCTTTAAACTTGTTTTTACTGCGATTTAAAAGAATATTATGGTGATAAATTTCGAATAATAATTGCACGGATTAACGAATATTTATTTTTATGTTACAGCATTATAATCTATAAAAATTCTGTTTTTATGTATTATACAAACTTATCTATATTTTTATACAGGTTTACTAATTAATGAAAGCACATTACTATAATAATAAACTGCTTAATGTTTCATTTATTAAGCTTAAACTAAATTTTTTCAGTTAGTCTTCAGTCAGTGGATTACATTAACGAGTTCATTTATGTGTTTAGGAAATTAATTAAAGTTATTCCTATAGTAGCATATTTTATACCCATAAATCATTATTATATTATTTAAAATATTCGATTAAATTAATTTAAATTTGGATGATTTGTAATATTAATTAATATTAATTTTATTTACTTATTTTTTTTCTCCCTTTTGTAGTAAGATATAAAGATATGGATAACTTGAGCAATTTTAATTTCTATTAAAATCTGTAATTTGTAAGCAAAACACTATCAAGTTCATGCGTAAAATTGGAAATCACTCAAGTGTTTACCAGAAGAACTAGTTTGAAAAAAGCATAACGGTTGCAAGCAATTATTACTAATGAATAAAACCGGAAATATATTGTTCCTTATTAGGAAAACAGGAAATTTCAAAGTAGATAAAGAGAGAAATTTCTTAAAAATTTTCGACTATTCATGAAAGTAATTAGAATATGATTTTTCACAAAGATGACATTTATCTGAGAACTTGGTGACTCAGTAAAAAAGAACTAGAGCGTAGTTAAAATCTCGAATATCTTCGAATTTATATGACTTAAGAGTCACTTGCTAATAAGGAAATAGCGGCCTCCTATTGTTCTTTTTAGTAGCATCGTAAATATCAAAATCAAATAAAATAGAACGAGTATGTGTGTGTTCCTCCCTTAACACAAAGATTGGAAGTCGTATTAACATATAAGAATATAAATTTTGATTTTTCTAAGTCATACATAAGCCTTTTAAAAATGCAAAAGATAAGTTTGGATATTCATTTCTTTTATAAATGAATATTTGTGTTTGTAAAATTTGTGCTATTTTTTAAGTACTTTAAGCCCCATAGAGGAAAGTCTATGGGGCTTGTATAGACTTATATGTATGGAATAGTCATTTCATATATATAAATATATTCTTAATTTGTCAAAACAAAAAGATTTATAAATAATTTCAGCAAAAATTTGAATAAAATATAGTTAGATTTCATTCAAATGAAACTGGAATAACAGGAGACTTTTGAAAATAACCCAGTGTAAATGATTAGAATACGAAGAATAACCGAATTTTATGAGAAAAATATATTATTTTAATATAAAACTTTAATTTAAAATGATGTCTTATATTTTATAGATCAGTATTTATGGAAAATTTTAGTTTAAAATAGGTCATTATAATATTAAAAGTTTCCAGAAATTACTGATCACTTAAAGAAATTTTTTAATGCTAATATTATTAAAATTTTGCTTTATATTGAAATTTTAATCATCAATAAAAATCCCAAATTGAGAAAACTTCCTTTGCTGCAAAACACGTCAAAATTTTATTTTATTTTAATGTTTATAAGAAAAAATAATAATAAATAATAATAATTACTCACAGATTTATAACAAAATCTGACCACAGTTTATGCGTAAACATAAATCAAGCGCGAAAAGAAGACCCAAGATAATTATAAGAAACGTCCTTGCGGTTTATTTTCCTATAGAAAAACGCCAGTTCAGAATCATTTCTAGGAATTATCCTGATAATAAGGGATTAAGAAATATTTAACTACTACTATTAAAGATACGTAATTGATGTTAGGAAGTTGTAAAAATCTGTTAAATTAACCGTTCAAGGATCTGTATATAAAAAGAAGTAATCAGTATAAATTCATATTAAATGAGCTTTTAACCTTTTATAATAATGCTCAATTAATGTAAAGATTTGATCTTAATAAAGAAATTATACGTTTAACGAAGAGTAATGAGAACGATCGTGTTACTTCCTTTTAAATTTTTATATTCGTAATGGAAGGAGATTATTAATTGCCATTGTGTAAAATGACAGTTTGTTCGCTTTCTATAACGTCAGTATCAGAATTTAAAATGAATTATCTCTGCAAAGTATATTAAAATAACAAATTTTATTAATGTTTAAGTTTATTAACATGAAAAAAAATCAATAAAAATAAAATTTATTCACATTTAAATTGGTAGAAAACTACGAACGTAATTAAAATTAAATAAACACACAAAACTGACGTCATTATCTATTAATTAGTTTTATTAATCTGATCA